TGCGGTTCTTCATGAACCTCAACGTGGGTCCATCCCGTGGGGTGAGGTCCTTCAGGAGCAGATCGCTCCAGCGTGGGGTCCTCCATGGCCAAGGGTCTTCACAGGCTGCCCCACCGGTCATCTCCAGGTTCATCATGGGCTTCCCACGAGTCATGGTCTTCTATGGGTGCAGCCACCTGCTCCAAGGTGGGGTCCTCCATGGCCGGGGGTCTTCATGGCTGTCCCACCGGTCATCTCCAAGTCCAATGTAGGCTTCTTGGTCTACATCAGGCACAGCCACCTGCTCCAGGGTGGGGTCCTCCATGGTCACAGGTCATGGCTGCGCCACCGGTCATCTCCAGGTCCAACATGGGCTTCCCATTGAGTCATGGTCTTCATTGGGCACAGTCACCTGCTGCGGTGTGGGATCCTCCATGGCCATGGGACTTCATGGCTGCCTCACTGGTCATCTCCAAGTCCAAGGTGGGCTTCCCATGGAGTTGTGGTCTTCTTCAAGAGATGGCACCCGCTCCGGTGTGGGGTCCTCCATGGCTGCAGGTCTTCACGAGGTGCCCAATCATCCATCTCCATGGGCTGCAGGGCAATCTCAGCTCCGGCGTAGGGTCCTCCTCCATCTCCACCGCCCCTGGTGGCCGCACGTTTCTCTCCCATCTCCTCTCTCTGCTGAAGGTTCCCCTCACTTGATACCAAAACCCACCACCCAAACCCACCACCACCAGCTACTAAGAAGAACATTAACCCTCTCCCAACCAAAAACTCCTGACGGGAACGTTCCCAGCTCGCGGCTGAAGGCTTCGGCAACTCTTGCTGAGTCAATGGATTCCGTTGGAGCTACAACCATCCCCCAGACCCTCCAAGATCACCAAGTTCATGGGACAAGACCAAAGAGGTGGACGTCCCTACCTAAGGAGACCACGACCTTCTAATTTGGTGGCACCTCAACCCCTGGAGAACCTCCCTGGCCCACCGGCGCGTCCTCCAGGTGGGTCCTCTGAGGGAGAAGACACTCGGCGCCGACGCTGAAGGTCTTCCCACAGAACAGGCACGAGTAGGAGGTGTCCGGCGCGTGGGTCCGGCGGTGGGCGGCGAGGAGAGCTTTGGTGGAGAAGCTCTGGTGGCACTTCCGACAGGTGTGAAGCAACAAACCCGTGTGGATGCGTTGGTGCAAGACGAGTTTTTGCTTCCGAGTGAAGGACGAGCGACATTCCGAGCAGGAAAAAGGTTTTTCTCCAGTGTGGATCTTCTTGTGGTTGTAGAGGATCCCGGGCGTGGTGAAGCACTGGTGGCACTCGGGGCACTCGTAGGGTTTCTCGCCCTTATGGATTCTGTGGTGGCACGTGAGGCCGTAGATGTTCTTGAAGGTCTTCCCGCAATCCGGGCACTTGTAGGGTCGTTCTCCAGTGTGGTCGCGCCGGTGGGTGCTCAGCCCGTACTTACTGTAGAAGGTCTTCTCACAATCTGGGCATTTATGGGTCTTCTTCTTCTCGAGGGCCACCGGTTTGCTCGGGGGTGCTTCGGTGTTCTTCATGTCATCCTCTCGTCTTGTCGGCGGCTGCTCCTCCTGGATCTCCAACGTCTTCTCCAGCACCTGGGGTGGTTGTTCTGCCTCTGGCTGGATGTTCCCAGTGCCTGCTGGAGAATTGTAGAAGGTTTTGGGTTGGAAGGGACCTTCTAGATCATCTTGTTCCAGCCCCCCTGCCATGGACAGGGCCACCTTCCACTACACCAGGTTGCTCAAAGCCTCATCCAGCCTGGCCTTGAACACTTCCAGGGATGGGGCAGCCACAGCTTCTCTGGACAACCTCTTCCAGTGTTTCACCACCCTCAAAGACAAAGCCATGGCACCAACAGGACCTCCACGACCACAGATGGAGAAGAAACTCAAGTATCTGTTGGGGTAACGTGAGTTAGGAGGACCCAGGAAGGGGTTTGCAGGGTGGAGAGGTCTCCATGTCCACAAATGAACCTGAGAAATGTTCTTGGAGAACGTTTGGTCTCACCAAAACTGAGTCATGAGAACCCATCCATGGAAGAGCTTCTTCCAGCGCAGCTCCGGTACTTGGAGGGCTCCAGCCCAACCTCCTGCTCCCACCAGGACGATCCCCACCCATCGTCCAACCCAACCTGGCCACAGCGCAAACCCATTCCCACCAACATCTCCCACCCCATCGCTGCCGCCACGGCGGGAGCAGGAATCCCACCATGCGCTTCTCCAGCCCATCCCCACCCACGACTCCACCAGGACGTGGGACATCTCCCGCCAACCTCCCTCTGAGGACTCACCACCATGGAGGACCTCCTGATGCCTCCTAAGCTGAGTCTTTGTCCAGAAGGACTCCGGACAGTAGGAGCAGGGGTACGGTCTGTCTCCCGTGTGGACGCGGTGATGTTTGATGAGATCTGAGTGCCAGGAGAAGCGTTTCCCACACGTGGTGCAGAGGAAGGGCCTCTCCTTGGTGTGCGTCCTCCAGTGCCGCACCAGGACCACGCTCTGCCTGAAGCTCTTCCCGCACTCCAGGCACTTGAAGGGCTTCTCTCCCGTGTGGATCCGGCGGTGCCGGGTCAAGGAACTCCCCCAGTTGAAGACCCTCTTGCAGTCCACGCACTCGTAGACCTTCTGGTTGGAGCTTCTCCTTGGTTGGGTTGAGTCTCCTTGAAGGTCTTCAGTGTAGGCTCCTTGGAAAGAACGTTTGTGGGGTGTTCTGGGTCCTTGGCTGCCCTGTGTGTCATCTGCCCAATGGTCAACCTCATGGTCCACGTCCACCTCGGGGCTCTGGGGCTCCTCTTTGGGTCCTTCTACCATCACCCTGTCCTCTTCCACGGGCTGGGACTCCTCCTTCTTCTCGCCAGCTGTCCCATCACCTGCTGGGAGACCAAAGGGGGTCACTTGATGGGTGCTGTGGGATGCCAAGAGCACCCCCAACCCCCCCCTCCGGCCTCACCCCCTGCCCAGCTGCAAAGCTCTTGGTAGAACTTCTGAAGTTCTACCAAG